ATAATGAATTATATATTGGTTATGAATAAAATAAATACAAATACATAGATATTAAAAGCTAGAGAGATTAATCACCGGAATAATTTTTAAAAAACTAACATTGATTTTAATTATTATAATGAATAAAATTTATAAAAAAAATTAGAAAACAAATGCTAAAACAAAAATGGATTTATAGGACGTCAGCAATAAATAAACGTTCTAACCGACCACTTTATAAGACATAACTTATATGACCCAAAAATAAAACGTCATGTATAAATGTGTTGTATTAAGTTTACAGAATGATTTTGAACGTCATAACAAGTTTACTATGACCCTTTTATAATAAAGAAAATGTCACATTAATTATTTTGTATGAAACTATTTGAAAAAGTGTCATGTATACCAATTTTATTATAGGACACTTTTTCAAATGAATATCTTATAAAATAAGCTAATATGACCTTTTTTATAAAAGGGTCCTAACAGAATTTTATGACATCCAAAAATTGTCCTATAAATTTGTTACAACGATTTTTGATATGATGCTTTATTTTTTGGCCCTATAAATTATGTCTTATAAAGTGGCCTATTATGACGCTTATTTATTGGTGACGTCCTATAAGTACAATTTTGTTGTAGTGATGATTATTACAATCAAGTGTGGGAGTGTATTTAAAAAGGGGAAATTGACTAAAATAAACAATCCATCAAAGTTGTTTCACTTTTTACTCGTGTCAGGAACCAACTTCCTTCCTAAATAGCCATGTTTACGTATTATGCAGAAGGATTGATTTCAGCCTAAAAAACATTTTAAAAACTAAGTTTATGCAGAAAGTGTAAACTTTACACAGAAAGGGTTCTCTTCGGGAGCTGAGAATGCTTCTGCTGCCGAACCGGGAGGGGAAAAGATGCTTACATGCCTTATTTAAAAAATGGAAAACACGTCTTTCTGGGTGGGGGTATTAAATCCTTAACTTCCCTAATTTTAATTTAATGAGAAAGCGCGTATACTTGAAGGAAGGCGGAATATTTCACCCCTCATCTGGAGTAGTTTGGTTAGTTGTCAATAGCTTGTGATTCGGAGTTGTCGACCCGTCATTTCCAGTCAAGTAAAGGAGCATCCCCCTCTTCGTCATGCACAAGGTTTGTTTTTAAAATCCTTTTTTTTTTTGCCTAAATCAAACTTTATGCATGTTGTATAAAATTCTATGTAAACTATGGCTATTTGAGGAAGTTGACTCTTGACGTGACAAAAAGTGAAACAACTTTGATGGATTGACTATGTTTTTGTCAATTTCCTTTTAATAAGGTATGTGTGGGTCCTTACCAGAGCCTCTTACGTGGTATTTCGTTTTTAAAATGTGTTGAAGTCTGATTTATAAGAGGTTGTGTTAAAGTTTGACATATGAATCAGTAAGATTGTTTGTTTTTGTAAAATGACAAATGTCTGAAGTCTGAAATCTGAATCAATAAGACTGTTTATTTTTGTAAACAGACAAACGTCTGAAATCTGAATCAATTCATTTTAATTAAATTCAACGGAAATATTCAACAACTTGAACCATTTGTAAATTACCATATAATTTTAACATATTCAAAAATTCAACTGAAATACGTCAATTGATTCAACAAATAGAAAACAAAACAAAGTCTCATGACAACTAAAATCAATATTCAGTTTGCATTGGGTCGCAGTTTCTTCTCTTAAGCTAGTCATATATGTTTGGTCAGCTGCACTCCCATGCGACTGAACCTCTTCATTATCACCTCACCATCGTCCCCTTGCTCGTTGGTTTGATCATATTCAGAAAATAACTCATACTTAAACCTTCCTTTCGTATGAAGCTGTGAACCACAAAGCATGCAATAACGTCTCATTTCGACCCGCTTTATTGACCTCTTCTATACAAATCTCTAAAAAAATCATTTGGTAATTTCATTTGTCCACCTTATATATAAATTTTCGTCCATCACTAATTAGCACACAAGAAAGAATCATATTCATGAGGTTTACAAACACAAAGTAAGATGCATAAAGCATCACATTCATGAGATCTTCAGGAATTTCATATGGATTCCAACCTCATATCCAACCATTGGCAATTCAAGAAAGGATGATCATGATTCCATTTGTGAAAAACCAACTTTATATCCAAACAATTAAACCTTCAGAGCACATAATCAAGATCCTCAATCTGCAACCATATGTCAATGTCAACAAACTTTTCATGAGAACACATATAAGGAAAAATCTACTGATATGGTACTCAAAGGAAGAGAATGCACACAATCCTCAGTTGCATTCCATTTGAGGTTTTAAAAAGTTCCATCCATTAATATCTATTGAAAGACCCTACCTACCTGACCTAGATGATCTAGTATGCATGATTTCTTCACAAGAAATCTTGCAACCTAAGATGCACACATGTTTTGGTGATTGTTTAATTGCCTTATAATAATTGAATACATAAGATATTCACAAGAAATCTTGAACCTGTAGCATCAAGATAGTGTTATTCCCTTCATATGTACATGCAGGAACATAAACCCAATATTGAAAACCCTAAAATTAGACTCAAGATTAACAGAATTTGAATTACCAAACATGTGTAAATCAAATTTTCTTTGTCAAACAGATAATTCAAGACAATCCACCCAAATAATGTTAGTGAATGCCCAAAACCAATCATATGATGATTGTAATTTTGAGTTTTGTTTCATAAAATTAATAAATAAAAGACATTGCTCATTTTATTATGTTTATATTATATTATGTTTTTTAATTAATCATAAAAAAATAAACTTAGAATAATATATTCTAAATGTCCCTAGCATATGTAAGGATTCATATAGCGATATTGAATCTGCATATGGGTACAAAATTGAGATTTTATGTACCGAACGTGGCTCTTTATGAGAACGTTGCGTTGGATGTCATGTGAGTGTCATAACTGTTTCTCATGTGGTCAATGTACATGTAATTCTTTGACTTGAGAATATGGAGGTTGCTGTGTGAGAGTGACATATTTTAACATTTATTCAAATCATTCAAGAACTGGGTGACAGCATGATTGTTGGGTATTTTATATATCACGTGGTAGAACTAGCATCTATCGAGATGGGATTTGTGCCTCCTTTATGACAGGAACGATGTCTCTGGACCCCTTGATAAATATATACTAAAAAAATGCATGCATGCTCAGATAATTGATATGAGATATCATGATATCTTTTATCAGTATATTAGGAAATCAAGAAACTAAATATTGGACATAACAAAAATGACACATTCAATGTCTCGTGTTCAATCTAGACAATAAGGACAAAATAATTAAATGCGTAAACTAAAATTGACTACAAACCAATAATTTGTTGTATCATAGATTCTCATTATTTGGGTGGCGATGATGTATTGCTAGATATCGTTCATCATTTATAGATAAAAATACGCGATTATATTTATTACCAACATGTCGAGAACCCATTGGGTCACATCTTTAAATATATATGAATAAGGAGTTCCAATAATTAATATATTTGATTATTATATCTGATTTGTATTGATTTAATCTAATTAAATAAAAATTAGATATTATTTTATGTGGGACATAATATAGGTTGGCAAGGGATGGTCTTAAAAGGAGAGAGATGGTGTTTGGAAAGTCTTGCACTCAAGTAAGGTGTAGGGATGCTAGTGGTTTTAGGTTATACCTCTCATAACCATAAAATGTACGACATATGCTCCATTTTCCTTCTAAGTTTTGCAACCGTGACTAGTATCACCAGAAGGCAAAGGATTCAAATTGTTCGCGTGGATACCGTGGAGGCATCAAGTCTATTTGTTGCTTAGATTCAAAATCTCTCTAACTGTGAGATATAATTTCAAAACACCCAATTTATTCCGGTTCATATGGATCATTGGAGGGTTACGGTTATATTTTCCGCTCTTTTAGTCGTATGTATTTTTTTTCTCTTTTAGCATATGTTCATTTCTATAGTAAGCAAGTGCTACAACTAAACAAAGACAGTTGTGCTTGAGATCCCGTAACCCAACAAATAATACTTCGATATACACAACTATGATTCCTTTAATACTAGATAAAACTTAAATGACAACAAGAACATCATAAATGCATAATAAAATGAAACAAAATAACAACCATATCCTCAAGAATCTGGGGTTATTAGACTCAAGACTCAAACCCAATTCGATTAGCATTGACTACACCAGCTTCTTTACGACAGCAATGGGAATATGCTATATATTTTAAAGGTAATCAAGTTTAAAAAGACTACCCATCACAAGAAATCAAGATTTGTAGCTGTCAAAGCCTTCTCCAAAACAACCAAAATACAAAGAAACAGAAGAGGGAAACAAAAGCTGTCAAGAGGGAAATCTATACCCATTGCTTTCGTACAGATATGGAGATTGAATATAGAAACAGAAGAGGGAAACGAATCAGTAAAACAGGACGCATAAATAGAAATACCTTCGACAAAGGCGTTTGAAAAGAAGATAATACGTACAGATTCAACTTTAAAAACAGATAATACGGTATTATAATAGGTAAGCAGATTCGTACAGATCTGGATATCGACATACCTTAGAGACTTTAGAGAGATCGATAGGCTTGATGAGAGATCGAGGGCTTAAGGAGAGATCGAGAGCTTGAGAGCGAGATCCAGAGGCGGAGATACGTTTATGATTTAAGAGGCATTAAATCACTTAAAAATTCAGAGAAAGGCCGGAGCTTTTAAGCTCTTATTTTGAAAGAATAAGAACAAACGCTCTGAAATTGGAAATGTCTGACCGAATCAAACTTCAGAGGTGGTTAAGAGCTGATTTTTAAAAAACAAACAGGCCCTTACAGTGGCTTTTGTTTTTAAGAGGCGTTGAAATTTGAATTCTTATTTCACTTTTGATAAATAAATGGTGGTGTCGAAGTCTGAAATTTGAATCAAGAAGACTGTTTGTTTTTGTAAATTGACAAATGTCTGAAGTCTGAAGTCTGAAATTTGAATCGATAGTAATAACCACTAATCTCATATTTGTATATTTGTCATCAAAGTCTATGGACTTCATGTTTTATTGTTAAATGACCAAACAAGGTCTTCACGAAAACAATATTTCTACGGCAGAGGAAAATTCTTATAATCCTACTCCTACACCCCATTTTCATAATTTCATTCAATATATATTGGGCGTATTTAATTTGGCTTTTTTATCTCGTTTCGGATATAGAACGGTGAAGCAGGGGAGACACCAAACTGTATCATGGATTTTTGGACGGTTTTGTTCTGTCCTTGATAATATTTCTTAAATATAAACTGTTGGAGTAAAAAAAACGAGTTAAGGCCGAAACCTGAGATTCCCATGGAGCGGTATGAATGACTAGTTTGGTTGGTTATGAATGTATATACAATCTAGGGATCATTTGGGTGATAAAATTTAAAATGTTTGATCTCCCAACTATTCATCTTGGCCAAAGACCTTGATCATCTACTCAATTTCCCCACATATATTGCAATTTATAAGGTATCTTAAGTAAGATCATGGGAGGATTAGGAGGTTTTATTAAGACGAAAATGAGGCACCAATAAGCTAAGTTCTATGTGCATATATGCTTGAACAATCTCTTCTATGAAACACAATATTCTAAAGAACAAGGGAACTTACCCCTTGCATCATGTTACAGATACATACATACCTGTTAACCTGGCTAAAGTTTTCCAGCAATGTGAGCCTCTTGCTTCCTCAGTGTGGTGGAACTCAGTTTTTCTCCACTAGATTCTTCAGATACCAGATTTACAACTTCAACCTGCAAATAACCGTTGCATTCAGCCATTTTTCTAAGAAATACTAAAATGACCGCATAATATATACCTTTAGTTGTGAAAGGCCTCTCTCGGCTCTCTTCTTGTTTACCAATGATCCACCAGGTAGGGTTTCCTGGCTGACACAGAGAAGCTAGCATTAGCCTGATATGATATTTGCCAAAAGAATAAACCACTCAAGACCCACAAAAAGTTTAAGTTTCTTCACAGTTTTTTACACCATAAAGATCTTGTATACATAGTGGTTAACTCATAAACTCGGTGAAGAAGCAAACCTGACAACAATGGCCTCCAGATCCTTATCAACAATTGCAGGACCATAAGGATCTGTGATATGTATAACTTGCACTGCTAGATTAGGCTTGATAGACTGAAAAAAGGAGAGAGAACAAATTTACAAAATGGGGATTATTTAATAGTTTATTAATGGAGGAAAAAGCGGTATAGGATAAACCCTAAAATGAACATCTTATAGATTATTCTGGTAAGCATACAATGAGGCACTCGCCAGTGCATGCATTCAACACATCATAGTCCATTCATCCTATGACATACCAGTAAAGCATCTAACCTTTGAGAAAATATGGCAGGTCCTAGTTTTTTCTTTCTTCTAACACACGATTTGGTAGGAAGACGAGGAAAAAAGGCTAAAAGTCATAGCTGGAGATGCATCAGGGGATAAAGCCTCACAAAACAGATAATCTTACTTCTTTGTCTAGCCAATTAGACACCCATAACCACAGACATGGGGGGTTATTCGCTCATTTAGTATTAAAAAATGGTTGCACAAGTAAGGAATATTTTAACAACAAAGAACATACAGGATCTGGTACCTTAATGTAATCTTCAACGGTTTTTCTTCGCTGTTCAATAGGCATAATAAGATGGGCAAACTGCAAGAGAACGTGAATAGAAAGTTCAATAATGAGTCACAGATTTGCGGAATACTCCAATGTCTAAAGAAGATCAAATGAGCACAATCATAGTAGATATATGTTGGATGCAACTTTACATTTCAAAATCTAGCTGTTTCATTAGTTAACCAATGCCATTCATAACTATACGAAGTACTGGAAAGACGATATGCAGTAGCTGCATTGAACGCATTTTCCACATGCACTTTCTCATTAATGAAATCACTGTGTAGGTTTAGAGTACAAGACTAAGGTGCCGTTTACCAAACGCTTACCTGGGTAAGCGTTTACCAAGTCACTTTACTTTACCAGATGAATATGACAAGTACTAAAAATCTTACCCGGTAAGAGCGAAGGCAAGAACCGAGAGTCTTACCCGGTAAGTGAGGACAAGGACTCTTACCATGGTTAGCGCTTACCGGGATAAATTGTTTTATACGATGCGTTTTAGTGAATAAAATCTTACCTGATAAGTAAGCGATAATGTTGAATTTTACCGGTAAGTGTTTACCGGGTAAGTGTTTAGGTAAACGGCACCTAACCTAACCTTTGTCAGACTATCGTATCCTTGTGACAACAAAATCTAGAAATTTAGGCGTTATTCCCTTGTGGCGAGCAGGGGACCAATTGTGGAAGCAAAAATAAAAAGGCTGCTCGATTGTAGAATTCCACTATGATTAATGGAAAGAAAAACATGTGTAATGTTGTTCTTGGTACTAGGGATTGGATCAAAATAAGATCGGAACTAAGATTATGCTTAGGCATTGGCACGCACGCACTAAGCTAGGTTTAGCATAATGCCAATAGACACACGTAGACAGCTGTACATTCTGAATTTTCCACCATCAGTATTTATGAGCCAGACATTTAAATTTCCACTAAGAATGACATTTCCTATTTTTTGTAGGGTGTAGGGTGACAGTGGTGTGAATGAGCTTGATTCGTCTCAAGCCCAGGATGAGGGACATTATCGATGATGGAACTTTGACAAATCGAGGGAGTTGTTTGTTGTACTATGTACATGTTGGTGACACAATTGTAACAATAAACAAAATAGGTCAGTCAAAATGAGTGTGTTGGTATGAAAGAGTGAAGGAGCAAGATCAAACCTGTTTCTTGGACAACATAGGGCCATCAAGTATACCAACCACAATTCGATCTCTAGCCAACTCTACAGCTGCCTACAAATCCATAACTCGAAAAAATAACAAAAACCCTTGATATATGCATGTGCTGCTTATGTTTGTTGGAATTGTGAATCAGAAAAAAAAAACATATACAAACAAACCTTGAGAAAAAGACGATGACCATCGTGTAGACGATCAAAGGTGCCTCCTAGAACAACAGCTTCATAGGAATTTGGTGGAGAAATGGTTGACGAAACAGGTAGAAGCTCTAAATTTGAGTCCTTCATAGTCATTGTATCTGAAGTCTAAGCTGTTTAATACCTGGTTCGGTAATCTTTCTGAAGTGTATATGTGCAATGCAATATTCCTTTGTGAAGTATATAATATTTATATAAATACGCAATTGCAAAAAGTAAATTCACACACCCTCCTCACCAAATTTGAAACCCTGACCTACTGCGAGTAAAGACTCTGGACTCGGATACCGTTGGGCCAAAGGCCACAATGCAATATTTGTTGCAATGAATGTATCATTTCCACCTAACATTAACAATACACAATATCCTAAAATTACATTATGTTGAACTAAACCCCAAAAAGGCAAAAAACTACAACCATAAGGTCCATAACTATTGGCAATCATCTGGCACAAATCAGATATAATTATTTGAGTTTTGTTGTCATTAATGAGAGAGATAGATCATAGATGCTAAGATAAGAGTATATTAATGCGTACGGTTTATATACGTATAATGCGAGGAAATTAATTCCTTACAAGTTTGAGCAACCTAATTGACAAAATAATCAATTATCTAATCAAGTAATCATATATTTAGAGTGTTGAAGCAACCAAAACACCATGTTCGAAACGGAGTCACGAATAACAACAGAACGAAGCTCAACAAAATATCACAGAGAATGACGAATACTTTTTTGCCGGCGACTTAACCGGAACAGATTTACTACAAGGCTTTGGCAAAATCGACATACCAAATTATAATCGTGTACACATATTAATTACGAAATTGAGGATTGCAAAACGAAATTGAGTCATACCTCTGTTCTATACGCGATTGCGCTGCTATAAATTCACATCTGAAACCTTCGGAACCAAAATCAGAGTAAAAGGAAGTCAAACTGGCGAAACGGGGAGAGCCCGAAAGAGGATCGAGTGAAAGAAAATTGAATTGACGCAAAAATACCCGTCAGTTATTTATAGCTACAACCCTTTAACTTCTGCAAAAATACCCGTCAGTATCTCTAACCATTTGATACGAATATGAAACCAAACAACCCCTCCCTATCCTTTTTGTAAAGGTTTGTTTTTGTATTTATATCCTTGTTGGTTATTATTGATAATTACACAATAGAAAATTTTGCAACGCTCAAATCTCCATGGGTGGTGGACTGTGATGGCCGAATCGGCATGGCCCGGGACCGGTAAGGACTGGTTATGGGACCGATTGGGATTTTTGGTAGTTTTGTGGGAACGGGACCGGTTATGGGACCGACTATGGATAGGCCTGACCCGAAAATGCAAATAATTTTATAAATAAATGTATTTTAAAATAATTTTATAGTGTATTTTTATAAGACAATGTAATTTTAATTATATTAAAATACATTTTTAAAGTGTATTTGAATGACCCAATTGTTAATTTTATTATATATTAAAAATATATATCATTTAAAAAATAAAATAAAATCTTATTTTTTAATGCCGGGACCGGTTGGGACTGGGACTGGGACTGGGACTGGTGGGGACCGGTTGGGACTGGGGCCGGTGGGGACCGGTTGGGACTGGGATCGGTGGGGACCAGTTGGGACCGGGACCGGCGGCCCATAACCGGTTATAAAGCACCTTGACCAGTCCTACAATTTTCGATCGGGACCGGTTATAAGAAAGTTTGGGACTGATTGGGTCCGGCCTGGTCCGGGACCGGTTTTTGGCCATCACTAGTGGTGGGTGTGAGGGAGCGTAGGGAAATAAGAGGGTTTCAATCACTTTGTCAAGCTTAGTTTTTAAAACAAAATTCTTCGGTATGCCTCACAAAACAACCCGATAGGTAAGATAATAACTTTCTCTTCATTTATCAGTAATACGTAACTGTCCTGAAATGCACTTTTTTGAAAAACAAAATGAGAATTAAACCGAACGATCTAGTGAGAAAATTCCTATCAATTCAAAATCAATTGATATAAAACATTTAGATTTGATAGTCATAAAGTAGGCCTGCAAGCTCTACATCCCTCATAAAAAAAGAGCCACAACATTCACCAGTCAAAAAACATGCACGCCCCGATAAGATCACAACCTATATCGACAGCGGCCCACCACAAGAAACATATTTGTGGGTAAAATCCCCCATGCGCGGACCATGACAGTCCTCACGCACACAAAGCTTCTGTTTTGCAAGTCCCTATAATCCAAAAATCTATAGTTACATCACATGTGTTAGGTTCCAACAACATATATTCAAAACCGTTATCACATTTATGACAATAATCCAAATATACATACAGGTATAACATTGGAGTAATAATCATTTGATGGTATATACGTTTCAGTTCGAAAATGATTAAACGAAAACTCACCTCGATACGATATACAGAGATTTAAATCTTAACTGAAAAGAGGTATCGAAACCAAACACTTGAATCTGAATCAATGAACCATGGATCATCTCTAAGACATATAAACTCAGGTTTAACTCTTAACAAGTTCTAAAGCACCTAAACGATAACCCAAACGACACGAACAAAAAACAAAAAATCACCAAATAGTGGTGAATGCGACCCAGATGCACATGAAAGTCGCCTTTTACACTGGATTGCGACTTCCAAGTCTGTTGTGCCCAAGTCTCAAACCAAATCCAATCCCAACTTGATTGCTTGTAAAACTCATATTCTAAAGACTTCAAACACATACTAAACTGAAGCTGCAAGAGAACTCTAATCAAGCTCTCCACTTGATTCCCTTCACTCCTAGCTCACACATGACTTAAGGGGATGAATTTTGAGATGAAAACATAAGCTGGAGAACTTTTAAGAGAAGGTGGCAACTTTACAATCTTCCAAACTAACCCTCAAATAAAGATACTTCACCTAATATACCCCTAAACTTATAAACCTACTCAAAACTCAGGTATTACACTAAGGAGCCGTTTACCAAATGCTTACATGGGTAAGCGCTTACCAAGTCAGGTTATCTTACTGGATGAATATATATAGCAAAGACCAAGAATCTTACCAGGGTAAGAGCGAAGGCAAAGACCGAAGAATCTTACCCGATAAGTGATGATAACGACTCTTACCACGGTTAGCGCTTACCGGGTAAGTTATTACATACAATGTCGTTTTGGTGGACTCAAATCTTACCCGGTAAGTAAACGATAATATTGAATTTTACCGGTAAGCGTTTACCCAGTAAATGTTTAGGTAAACGGCCCCTAAATCTATTAAGGTACTACTTTAAACACCCTGATGATGCGTTTTATTATTGATAATTGTTATTGGATCTGAATGGGTTTTCAGTTTTAGAAAAGCTTTCTAAATATTGTAATCTAAAATATTTTATGCAGTGTTTTAAAGGGTTACAAATGATTTTAAAACCCTACAATATTGATCATAATAAATTTAAGTGGAAAGTAAATGTAAGTTATCTACAATATTACATGTAATATTTATAAATTATTAATTATGTGTGAACTTATACATATTAAATGTGTTTTGCTACACATATCATATGTCATTTTGTCATCATTATTTTTTTCCAATTTTAATTTGAATCACTGTTTTTCATGTTTTAATTAGGAAAAAAAATTGAAAAAAAAAAATCAGTTAATTGTAAAATCAGATATGGTTTTGACCAAAAAAAATTTAGATATTGCTATAAATAAATAAATAAAATTCTTGAAATGGAAATTAAATACGCTAATTTTCAATGTATTAAATAGAAAATGAATTTTTTTAATTAAAAATTATATTATATTAAAATCACAACTGTGGTAAAAAAATATAATCTTAAATAATTTTTATATAAATAAATTACTTTTATGCCTTATTTGTTTTTTAAATTATTTATTTAAGGTATTATTAGCGAAATTCTGTTGTCCATATTATTTTTTTTAGAAGACAACAATTTATTAAAACAATAAAGGAAACAAAAAAAGAGCGAGGACCAAAAAAAACAACCGCCCATCAACAAAGAAACAAAAATAATATAACTACTATTTCATTCTTATTTGATTATCATTATCGTATGAACCCGACTATATATATATATATATATATATCATAATTCATAAATTAATATTTATAAAATATTTTTTATAATTTTTAAAAAATACTTAAAATGCACCAAATTCTCCATATATGTGACATTCTACAAGACCAACAAAATTTTCAAATCTTTCCTACATCCCACAAATGTTGTTCAATCTTCAATTTTTTATCATTGTTCTCGATATTAACATACTAAAATTAATATAGGAAAATAAAAATTGAAAACTAATAAATTATATTTATTTTTTAATAATTTAATAATATTATATGGGGGCGCGCGCGCACACACACACACATATATATATATATATATATAACATTGTTTGGCAAAAATAAGCTAACTTATTTTTCGGATACATGTTTGTTTACACATAAACTAACTTGTTTAAACGCTATTTGGAATAGCGTTTTCGTAACTTATTGTCATTTTTTCTAATTATAACTCTTATTAATATAATTATTATTTATTATAAATAAATATTAATAAAATTTAAACATTACTAATATTAATAAATATTAAATAATTATATATTATATTATACATTA